ACCAAGCGGCTGGGGCTCACCATGCAGGTGCGCGACCCGGGGCCTGCAGCCTTGTGCTTTCTCTGTGGTCCGCAATGACCCGCGGGCTCCCAGCCGGGGGCTCCCTGGCTGCAGCGTAGCCGTGCTTTAGCGCACAGGGGTCGGGAGCACAGGGGGCATTCGCGTCTGGGCCGGCACCTCAGCGGTGGCAGCCAGACTCACCAGGGGGAGCTGTCCCGGGCGGTTTGGGGTCTGGTCTCTATCGGTGCTGGTCTTCAGTCCTCTGCTGGGCACCCCTCGCCCTTGCAAAAACAAAAAGCGAAACAAACCCACAAAAGTGGTAGGCGTTGGGGAGGCGTGGCCGGATGGGCGGGGAGAGCCGCCTTGGAGTCAGGGGGTCCTCCAGGGGGTCCGCCGAGAGTGGGGCGGTAACACCCCTTCCCAGCCGCCAAGAGGATGAGGGTGTTTGCTGGCCCCTGTGCCGAGTTGCTCTGCAGGAGCCCCACGGTTCAGGGACTATTTAAGGAACCTTAATTGCTAGGAGAGTGTGATGGCGCCTGCCCCCTGGGGGTCACAGGGGCTGTCTTTAGAACGTGTTTGTGCAGTGGGGAATTTCAGGAGCCGAGGACGGGAGAGGAATAGCAGTGGAGAGGAGAGCGCCATCTGGCGGCCGGGTCTCCATTTACAACTGTCCTCTCCGCTGCAACTTGAGCTGGGTCCTCATGGGAGGGTTGCAGACCTCGGGCTGGTGCCTCAGGGCTGGGTGACGTTGAATGTCCGACGCAGGCCAGGGGCCAGATGGCCGGAAATGAGGGTGCTGGGACAGCCACACCCACTCACCCCAGGATCCCTTGGCTAGGTTTTCTCCCCTTTAACTTTTTTTTGAGGGGAAAGGTTTTTGCTGTAGAACTCATGTACTTGCCAGAAAGAGAGACAGAGAGATAGAGAGAAATCACCCCCGAGGGGGGATGGCCACGCCACAATCCCTTCTCCACCATTCTCCTCTTGGGATCTTGGGTATGCATGCACACGCACCCAGTGTGAGTTTAAGCCCCCGGGTCCGGGACGTGAACTGTGGTCGAGGACATGGGAGTCCAGCGACATAGGCCTTACGCCAGCTGCTGGCCCCCCTTTAACTTTTTTAATAAAGTTGCTGTAGGGCTCACGTGCCCTGCCAACGTCAGAGACCAAGGACACCCACGGTCTGATGGCCTCTCTGCCTCTGGCTGCATCACAAATATACTTCTATACAAGTTAAGGGCCAGCTGGGGGTGTGGAGGCTAAAGGCGGCTAGGTCTCACGGCCTGGCTGACTGCTTGGCGTCCCGGGCCTGGCCACTAGAGAATCACGCTGGGTGGGTGTGTGTGTGCACCCAACATCCCGAGAAGAGAGAGGAGAAGGGACTGGGGTGCAGCCGGCCCTCTGGGGTGCTTTCTTTCTCTTTGTCTCTGGCTCTCTTGGCAAGTGCGTATACCCAATAGGAGCTAAAAAATAAAAGGTCTTTTCTTCCTACGGGAAGGACAGACAGTGCCCCAGCAGGGCGCCCCGATCCTGCGGGCCATGGCCAGCCTCAGCCAGCTGGGTCGTGAGTGCCCATGTGCCCGGCTTTGTGGAGAGGTCCCTGCGTGCCACCGGGACCTGCCCGTGTGCTTCAGCCTTGTGTCGGGTTTTGCTGCCGCAGTGTTGGCTGGCCCCGTGGCACTGTAAGTCAATGTGGCCGCGAGGCAGGAGTAGTTACTGTCCGCCCGCCGCGGCTGTGCTGGGGGGGGGCGGGGGGGGA